TATCTATCTATCTATCTATGCTAGATATTGATTGATAAATAGATAGCTATCAACAGATCTATTACCTTGTAGATACATACTGTAGATAGAAAGGTAGGGTATCGATCTATCTGTCTGTCTGACTATTAAAATAGCTGATAAATAGATAAGCTATATATAGCTGGTATCTGTCAACATATCTATTACCTTACGTACATGCATACGTCATACATCAGTCTGTCTGTCTGTCTGTCTCTGTATCTGTTAACTACTGCAGCTAGCGAGTAAGGCTTGATTCAGGCTTCCCAAGGGCTGAAGTATAAAATAGGGCTGAACGATATGGTAAAAAATATCATACTGTGATTATTTTGATAAATATTGCAAAAAAAACCCAGTTTTTCTTCGATCTGGACATTGTAGGCCGGGACAAGTCTTCGGGACAAGACTTTGGGATATTTGGATATTGCACTTGGACACATTGCGATTTTGATATTTCGACTGTGCAGCCCAACCATACAACTGCGGTGATGGTGGTCTTCTTCGGACAGGTTTGTTCAGAAGCCGATCCCTCTGACCGAGCTGTTCCACATTGCGTCTCCCCCCAGCCTCTCTCTGGCTTCTCTTCCTAGACAGTGGCCGTGCAGATGGGTGTAATCCCATGTTAATCTGCCTAACCCTGTAGCTCACAGTCTGGCTTTAACACTGCTCTGATTAAAAGCCCCCCCCACCATGTCAGTCATTAGTTTAATTAGATCAATCACACAGCATCACTAGTGCTAATTAAAGGAATCCAAAACATAAGGGCTCGCTTAAGAACCATGGCGATGCAGTGCCATGATGAATGTTTTGCTCATTTTCTAACACTTGACGAATTCAGTATTAATTCTGACACTTTATATCACCTGCCAGAACAAATGTATTCTTAAATAATAATAAAAAATAATAAATACTCCTTCTGTAGTGTGTATTTATCACTAAATATGAAGGCCTAGAAAGTAATCCTCAGTGTTAGTGTGCAGTGCCTGTGTTGGCTCAGTGCTGACTTCCTGTGGGTAGAAAGTGTCTGGGAAATGGGCAGTGCGTGATTTAATGCTCTGCTATCATTTTCCATATGGGGAGAGTGAGAACAGAGTGTGGACTGTCTGACTGCTGTCCTTGATGATCTTCTGAGCTTTCCACATTGCAGAGGGTAATGTACCTGTGATGGAGTCGCCTGTGCCGTTATCTCTGTAGCTCGCCTTCCGCAGTTTGCAGTCCAGTTGCCATGCAGTGGTGCAACACACCCAGTAAGAATGCTCCCAGTTTGGCAGTGATATAGCTGGGGAAACATTGTATTACCTGTTGCGTTATGTTTTTTACAGGGGCCTCTTTTTTTTTTACATAAATCTGTAAGTGACTAGTCAGACAATTCTTTCTCACCGT